TATATTAAAAACAATAATGGACCTAGGCTTGAACCTTGAGGAACTCCACATGTAATACCGAGGGCTCCTGACTTTTCTAGTAATACAAATTGCATTCTGTTAGACAAATAGCTTTGAGTCCACTTAAATGTTGAACCTATTATACCGTAATATTTTAGCTTGGAAAGTAAAATACTGTGATCAACTGTATCAAAGGCCTTGTAATTATTAACTCTATTATAAGTTACTCTCTCAAATACTTTTGAAAATACTGAAAGTAGAGAATTAGGTTGGTAGTTAGAAACATTATTGCAATCATCTTTTTTGAGAATCGGATTAATTTTGGCTAATTTAAGTTTGTCAGGGAATACACTATTTTCAAATGAAGATGATATTAAATAAAATAATGTTTCACTAATGCTGTTCATAGCATAAATAGCTACGTTACTGGAAATACCGTCATATCCACATGACTTGTTCCGTTTAATTTCAACAACTGCTTTATTAAATTCAAGTTTAGTTATCTTTTTATTATTTATACTATTGTTGGGTTTTTCTCCTAAAAATTATCAAATGTTTTATTTGGTTGCACAATGTTAGAAGCAAGAGAGGGGCCTACATTAACAAAATATTTGTTAAATTCTTAACATATATTTGTTTCACTTGTTAAAACTTTTTATCGAAAATTATTTTTTGTGAAAAGCAAGTGCAGTTCTTTTTTTCTCTTCCTGTTAGTTCGTTTATAACAACCCAAGTTCTCTTTATGTCGAATTTATGCTTATCAAGCTCATTAGAAAAATACCTTATTTTTGCTTCTTTTACACTATGTTGAAAAAACTTTTTATAATTTTTGTAGATTTTTTATTCATCTTTATTTTTTGATTTCAAAAATTTTGCGTAAAATTTTTGTTTACTTTTTGATGCTTTAATTAAAGTTATTGTCATCCATGGATTCTTATATCCTTTGTTTTTAACTCTATAGTTGATTTTGGGTATATATTATAAAAAAATATTTTGAAATGTGCTTCTGAAATTATCAAACGCAATATTAGGATCTATTGATGAAAAAAAGTTATCCCATCGTTCTATTGGCAGTTTGTTTTTAAAATTATTCAGGTTTTTTATAGAAAGATTTCTGTAAGTCACAAAGCATTTTTTATTGTCAATATTACATAGTACATCGCGTGCTATATGGAAAAGCGGAAAATAATCATAAAAGTCTGCAATAAAGAGGCCTGATTTAAATTAAGTATTTTGGGAACTGTTTATTAAAATATTGTCAATCACAGAAGATGGTTGGTTAGTAATGCATGTGGGCTTAAATATGGTGGGTATTATATTAAATTCAAATAGTAAATTGAAAAAATATATAGAATACTCAGCCTTTAATTATGATATACATTAGCAATAATAATATGAATTCTCCTGCTTTTTAAGAAATTCAATAAATACTTATCATAAACGGTTACAAATGCATAAACATGTTGAGAAGTATGTTGCATGCTCTGTAGGTTTAAGTATTTTTATCTTGCTTTTTTTAAAAAAGAAAACCAATCTGAAGTTATCTCCAGGCAACACTACAGTATTATCAAGTAATTTATGTTTTAATGACAAGGTTATGTTTTGATGTCAAAATGTTTATAATGGTACATTTTAAAGTAAAGTATAATTTATTAAGTTATCGACTTACAGTAATATTTTTATTTTTTAACGGTTATTCCGTATCTATAATTTCATTATAGATACGGGAAATTATCAACATGATTGGACAATTTAAAAGATTTGCATTAATCCAATCAAAAACTGGTTTGCGTTAATCCAATCAAAAAGTGATTTTTGAACAGCGAGAAAAAAATAAAGTTAAATTTTTTATGTTTTTTAAAGCATTCTGTTTTTTATGTTTTTAAAAGCATTCTGTTTTTTGAACTCTTTTTTTTATCTTTTTATTAAAATAAATAGATAAAATTATATAAAACAAATTCTATAAATTTTTTCTCTACTTTTTTGCCATACAAACATTAAATAATTTTATAAGCATTAAAAACATAAAAAAAAATCATAAAAAATCTTAAAATAAAACTTAATTAAGATAAAAAAATTATTAAGATAAAGAAAAGCTTATAACTTCAAACTATTATAAATTCTTCCAAGATGCTTACTTATTTCGTCAACAATAAAGAACCATTCCATGCCGTAAGTTTCCCCTTTGTTCTTATCGGGGTGATAATGAATTAATGATTTTTTGTATTCTTCTTTTAAAGACATATCGTCTTTTTCTTTCATTTCATTCAAATCAAGTTTATGAGAAGAATCCTTTGGAGGATAGTTTTCATAAATAAAGATCAAAAAGTGTTTATTTGAAGTTGATGCATTTTCTCTTATTTTGTTTAAATCTTCCTTTATTTTGCTTATGACCTTTTCTTTGTCCGCTTCCTTTGCTTTTTCTTCTTCGTCAACAACTTCTTTTTGAAACTTATTGATTGCATTGACAGCTCTTATATACCAAGCTTCAGCTGTAAACAATTTTGGTTTCATAGATTCCGCTAAATCAAGAGCATGCATGTAACATTGCTTCGCCCGTTCTTTAATTAGAAGAATTTTTTCGTAGATGACTCCAATTATACTTGTAATTTCAGCTTCTAGCTCAATATCTTTTGTTGCAGTTGCTTTTATTGCAACACGATACATATCAATTGCGTTCCAGGCTAACTCTATATCAACTGACTCACTTTCGTTAATGCATTTATGATAAGTTAAATCTGCTTCGTGTTTTGCTTTAAGCCCGTCAAGAATGCATATTTGCAGATCAATACTAGTTTTTAGCTGATCGAGATCGCTCCAAAAATTAAATTCTACATCAATGTTTTCTGCATATACTTGTTTATTATATCTAAAACATTCTTCGTAGAAATAATTACAATCGTTTATTGACTTGAAGCTTTCGTTAATTTGTTTTTCATCTAAATATTTTATTGAAATTTGGTGATGTAAGTTCGAAAGTCGATAAGTTACGTGGACTTTAACAATTTTTAAAATTTTATCATGTTGAATTAACTCATTTAAAGAAGATATTTGTAGAGAGTATTCTTTTTCAAATAAAAAACTGTTAATATAAAGTTCAATGGCTTCAATTGACTTTTGAATAATATGATGTATCCATTCGTTTGGTTTATTGATCGAGTTTTCAAGAGAAAGAAAGAGACTGCTTTGGCAAACTTGCATATAAAAGTTGAATGTACGTAATGGTTTTTCATTTGCCCTAGATAAGTAAACTCTAAACAAAAAACAAAAACTAGTTTAGCGATCACGGCAGCTTTTTTTGATGTTTGAAGAAGTTGAATTTCAGGCTTGGAGCAAAATTTAAACTTGAGAAGTGTTTGAAACATTGTTATAACTTTCAAAACAAAAATATTATAAAATGAAACTTGAAATCTCTTGAATAATGTAAATTTAGTTTATAATAGTGATCGCAAAAAACTCTGTAATTTGTTGCAAACACATATGAATTAGGGAGGGGGATCAACTTTTGGATTATTTAATGTTCAGACGCTCCAATCACTGTGATTTTTTGCAAAGCATACATTTCATATAGGCATACATATCATATATTTCATATATTTGCAAAGAATACATTTCCTATGCATAAAAAAATTTAAAATTTCTGAAAGTAATCTTTCTCAAACATCTAAAAATGCTCCTGTGATCCCTGGAGTTAATTATCGTAATATATTTTTGAATTTCTTAGTATAATATATATATATATATATATATATATATATATATATATATATATATATATATATATATATATATATATATATATATATATATATATATATTTATATTAGTTTTACTATTTAATATTTAAATATATAAAATAACATGAAATATTTTTTTATGGAGAATAATAAGCCATACTTTTGTTTGATATTTCTTTTTTATAGGAGGAGTACGTAGGAATGAGGAGGAGTACGTAGGAATGAGGAGGAGTACTTAGGAATGAGGAGGAGCATTGCCACTATTTTTATACTTCTTTTACAAGGTTTCAAATTTAACAATTTAAATTCTTTTTCTGCTTTTTAATATATTTTGAAGCTTTACCTTCTAATTCTTTAAGTTTAGCATTTACGGGTTTCTATCAAATAAATGATAAGACAATAATAACTAAACAAAAGCCTTATATGGTTATTGAAGTAACGTCACTTTATTGAGTGCCAGAGCATCTTCAATCTTGTTCTAAAGTTTTAAAGAAGAGATTTACAAATGGACATTATTTATTTCAACAGAGTTGAAATTTCCTTTTATAAGTTATATAGTTTATAATTCTAAATAAAATATCGAATGATAAAATATGAACTTAATTAAAATTAATATATAAAATATAGAAATATTTCCTTTTACTTTATGGGGGTAAAGCAAAACATGAACTCTTTTTTTAAACGTCTTTTGCAATTTTATGAAAATAAACTTTTTCTTTTTCGAAAATTAACTGCTTTATATATTTTTAAAAAGAACAATTTATAAGCATTACTTGAAAAGATTAAGAGCTGTAATGCCATGATTTTTGTAAGCACTAATTCTTTCTTCGCTGCAAGCTGCTGAATTAATAGCTTCTTGGTACAACTTTAACGCTTCGTTTAGTCGTGTTTCCTTTAAGACTGGCGCAAGACCATCTGTTATTGATTTAAAAATATCATTTCCTTGCGTTCTCTTTCTTACACTCCATGATACTGACATTGTAAATTAATAATAAATACCAACTTAGACAATACTTCTTGAAAATTTAAAAACTTTTCAATTTTCAAAAAAGTAATATTTAACTAAAAACATTTTATGTATAAATGTTTTTGAAGAAATCTAAATAATCGAGTATATTTGAGCGATCGTCGATTGTTTTTATTATTCAATAAACTTTTATATAAGAAACACTGAAGCGTTAACAATATCACGTGAAAAAAAATTATTTGATTGTAGTTACTCTAATCCATATTTCCAAAGCTTTAAACATTTGCAGAAAACTTATTTTTCTTGGTTTATGTTTACTTAAGTGGGCGTGTTTCTTGATTATTTTTACTGTTTCAAGGCAGACAAATCTTAAGCTGCAATTGTAAACATCCTAGTTGAATTTTAGCTAACTGTGTAAAGAGCTGTTTAATAAAAAAATGGAGTTGTATTCAGGTTATAGGCAGGTAAAATTTTTGGATTTTAATAGCAATTTTGAAAAAACAAACTATTAAAAAATCAAATTGTAAATTAAAGGAAAATGTTTGGCTCATTTAAATATTTAGTTGTTTTTTTGTTGTTTTTTTTAGTTTAGTTTAATATTTTGTTTTAAATTGACGTAGCTCAATAAATTTAGAATAATATTTATTATTAGATTATAAATAATATTCGATTATAATATTAGATTATCGTAATATTATTTATTATTAGATTATAAATACTCAACGCAGGAATTTTAAATATAAATCGCAAATAATTGTTTAAAGATGTTTTTACAGTTTTTATGTCAAAATAAAAATAAGTCTTTTTACAGATTGAAACCATTATTTTATTTTATTATATAAAAAGTTATGTAAAAAATCAGATTAAATTAGGTTTTTACTATTTTATCAACAGTTTTATTAAACTAAAAGCAATTATTACTATTTTAGCATACTTTCTACTTTAAAGCATGTGAAAATTTCTTTCAATGCATTCGTTTTGACATTTCTATCTTTATATGTAAGATGTGATATCATTTTGTAAAATAATAATTTAGTATAAAGTTTTTAATAAGAAAGTATAAAAAAATAAATGCTAAAATCTGATATGAACATTTCTGTTAAATTGTTACTGCATGTAGGGTTTTTCACAAAAAAGTTTATCTTCGTGTGGCCACTTGAATATAATCCATATTATGAAGAGTAACTTTCAAAATTGACAGTGTGCAAATTCATATTTGTAAATTCTCGATTTAAGTCTTGCTCCTTATATGATGAATTTACTTATGCTGGCCAATGTTTAAAGTGAATTCATAGAAAATCTATAAGAACGCCAGGTTAAGAATTTTGTTTCTTAAAAAAAATGTGTTTTCCTTTTTTTTTATTGTTGACATCACGTGATATAATATTCAAAACTTGATTGGTTTTCGCTTATGGCGATTTGCAAAAAGTTGGAGGTCAGGTTCTTTTAGGGACTTCTTTTTTTGCTGCAGCGAAACGCTGTATCAGTATAATTGCCAGAAATGTTTTTATCTGCGCATGCTTAAGCATGCGCAGATAAAAACAGACTTTATAAAAAGCAATTATCTAAACACGCCATGAAAAAGAAGCATCTCTTGTGGGTAATTAAGTTGGTAATTATTATTGTGGGTAATTAAGTTGGTAATCATTATCTTGCAGCATAAGGGTTAGGAATATATCTGATAATTTGCAATTGATGAACAATTACTGTTGGCATTATTTGCATGCCGATGATTAAAATTGACTAGATACAACCAGAATGTGTCTGCAGTCTTAATAAATAATAATTATGAAAGGTTAGTAAATATAATAATAATAATGATATACAGTCTTGTTTATTGGAATGACTGGGTGATTCATGGGAATTGTTTAAGGTTACCAAATTAATATTTGATGATAATATTTCCTCCAATTATTACGATTAAAATATTGTGACGAAATAGACTGTTTATCTGAAGAGTGTAAGGCAAAAATCATTAAAATCTTACAATATATTAAAGTATAAATATAATAATATAATGTTATAAAGTATAATGTTTTTATTTGTATAATGTGTAATGTATGGTATTTTTTTTTACAGCACTCACCACTGAAATAAGATGCTGTATCAAGAATGATTTGATTAAAGAAGTAGTTGTAACAACGATTTATAAGTTTTTAATTTTTTTTTTTTAAAACCGTGAAGATTAACGATACATGATTACAGAATTGTTTAGAAAGTTGCTCAATAAAGTTGTAATTGTAATGTGGTTTTTGTTCGAAATAAATAAGCATATAGAATTATATAATTTCTCTTTTATATTTTCAACAATTTTAAAGTAGTTTCGCAAGATTTGAAATCATTCCCTGGCGGGCAAACTAATCTAGGGCCCGGATGGAAACCGCGGCCAAATACCACCAGGATCCTGGAGGGCTTTTTATATGAGGTTCTTACGAGTTAATAGTGTGGGATTCGTTTGGGACTCATGCGGGTAACCCGCCTGGTAAACCCATATTGGCCCCGGATGGAAACCGTGGCCAAAAATCCGCGGGATCCTGGAGGGCTAACCACATGGGGCCCAGTTGACAACCCGTACGGGTCCCACACGGTACCCGTATTAAAATACTGGCTGAGTTATCAACGAAAAAAATCGCTTTGCGCGAATATTTGTCTTGTGGAAAACGGCCTTAAATATTTTCAAAAATAATTAGAGAAGTATGTTTTGTACAACGTTGGTACTTAAAATATAAAAATTTAGTAATTAAACATTTAATAGCTAGGTCACGTTGGACTTCTCCCATTTTTTAATTATAGACAACTTAAAAAAACTTTTGATATAGAGTATACGATAAAAATAAAAATAAAATTTTTTTTGGTCAACAGTTGTTACATTAACCCCAATATACCTTCAATATAAGCAAAAAGTAGGATATGCGCCGACCAAGTTTTGGCAAAAAATAATAAAAAAAAGCAAGGTAAAACTTTGGTAGCATATTTCCCAGCTAGCAAGCGTACGTTGATAAAACGTTAGAACAATGTTGCCCGTTGCTTGACCCAACATCAACCGCAAATGTTGTTTTTATATCATTTTTGTTTCAAATGCGACGTCGCCAACAACCAAAAAAAAACGTTGGCCAACGTTGTATTTTAAGTCGGCACTGCGTAATATATTATGTTGATTCAACGTTGCATTTTACGTTGGCATAACGTCTCTTGATATTTCGTTATAAAAGAAAGAGAAAAAAGTATTACCAAAATACATTACCATAATCAACTAATATATTTAAATAAAAAATAATTCTTATAAATTATACAAATGTATATTTATCTATCTGCCTTTTCTGAATGCAAACACAACGTTGATCCTCTCTATATAATCCAACGTTATTCCAATGTGTATGGATCAACGTTGATCCCATGAATGTAACCCAACGTTAATTAGTTTACATTGGATTAAAATTGCGTTATAAACATTGGATCAACGTTAATCCATATAGATTGGATCAATGTGGGGTTATACGCATTTGGTCATCGTTGATCCGTATACATTATATCAATGTCTGGTTTCGGAAAAACTCAACTAACTTTTGCGATATTTTCACCTGGTTGGACCAATGTAATATTATGTTGTCATTAAGGTTTTCATTTATATAAATACGATAAAACTAACATTGGATCAACGTTGTATTCGCATCTGAGAAAACAGCCGACGTTTGTGATTTACTTCCAAACATTGCTCCAAATTAAGTGTGCTAGCTGGTTTATAATAGCACCTATTATAAATGTACTATAATTTTTATAATAGCATCTATTATAAATGTACTATAATTTTTATAATAGCACCTATTATAAATGTACTATAATTTTTATAATAGCACCTATTATAAATGTACTATAATTTTTATAATAGCACCTATTATAAATGTGTGTTTTAATAGGAACAGATTTAAAAATCTGGGTTTTAGGAATTTTCCACCTAAAATGGTATCAGTAAAAAGGTCATTCTCTAAAAGGGTAAATCAGCCATACTAATTTTTTACTTAATAAATCAAATGGTTATTTATGTAATTGCGTTCAGCAGATTGAAAAACCTCAAATTGAAATAACACGCAAAAAGAAAAAAAAGAAATTTACAAATATACCAAATAATACATATAAAAATTTGATTGAAATTAGAAAAACCTGCTATTTCATATATTTTGCTTTCTTTTTCTAAAGTTTTTGTCATTTTTTAAAACTTTTTTCGCCTTTAATTTTGGACGAAACAATTAGTTATGCAGTTTTTCTCGATAGACCAACCATTTAATGTGGATTTTATTAATGTAAAGTTTTTCATAAATTAGAATTGACGATTTAATCCCGATGTTAAAATTAGCTATTGCGTCATACACATTTTAGCACTGTCACTGTGACGGTCGAAGTGCCAAATTTTGTTTTTGATATGCGATTCCAAATTTTTCCATTAAACGGCTCATTCACCTTGCCATGAAGGTATTTTCGAAGATCATTTTCTTTAGTAAGGTTTTTAAACACAGGTCTGATTTTGAATACAACCTTTAATGGAAGACCAAGATCTGGCTTGTTAAACAAATTTTTGAAAAGGTTAGCACATAAAAAACTAATTTCACAATTAAATAATTTAGTTGTTAGATTAATTTTTCTGAATCAAAAATATTTTGTAAAAGTTGTGGTTATTAATTGAAAAAAAATGCTTGCCATATAGTCGAAAAGGTTGTCACGGACTTTGTTGTTGCAACTTCAATCAAAAGTAATTTCCTATACAATTGCAATTCGGTTCCCCAGAAAGAAATGTTCCCCAGAAATATGTATAGCAAATTCTTTGTGGTATCTAAAGCAATGTCTTTTTAAACAGTTTTTAACAAGTGGAAAACTTTTTCCACTTTTTATCTTGTCAATACCATCCATAAGTTTGTATAATGCTATCAAACCCCCACTTTTTTTTTCTCAGTTAGAGTTGCAAACCTAAGGCAATGAGTCGAACTTCATATTTGAGATTGTTAATTGATGAAACGAGTTTAGTTGCTCTGTGTTGTATTTTTTCAATTACAACTAGAATTCAAGAAGTGGGCAAATAAATTTTAAACAAATAGTTATCATAGTTTGACAATTGAAACTTCCAAACAACTTCTTTATTTGTCCTAGCATTTAATTTGCTTTGCCAAATACTATAGTTACTTAATCTTCGATTTAAGATTTGTAGAAAATCCAAGATTTTATTTAGACTCAAATTTATACTTTTAGAATCTCGGGTTTTTTTTCGTCTTGGTTTTCGGTCCATACGAGACAATATTTTTCCGAGACGAAATCTCATACGAAACCAAGATAAAACCGAGCTTTTTTCAAAAATGTAAAAACTATGAAAATAAACTGAAATTTTCCTAAAAATTTTTGTTTTATAATTTTTTATTATAACTATACTAATGAACCATAAGTTTTCTACATTTATCAAATTAATGTTGACTCTTAAAAAAACTTTTCAAAAGACTTATGTCATTCAAAGTTGCAGCTGTCATTCTCTTCCGTTTTCGTTTCGGTGGTTGCTTAAAATTAAAAAAATTTGTTCACATCGAATCGATTTTGGCTTGAATAACTTCAACGTATTTTCTAACATGCATAGCTTTTCTGATTTGAATTCAGTCTAACATGCATAACTTTTCTGATTTCAATCCAGCAGCTGTTAAATTCATCAGCGGTCAAATCATTAGGAACAGTGACTTGGGTTTGTGGTCGGGCGTTGGATTCGCTTTTCTTTCTAAGTGGGTCTTTGAGCTTTGGAACAAAGTTTGAAGTTGTTCGGCGTTTCGGAAGCAAGAAGACGTAACTTAGGATCATTGGGAGTTTATTCGACAGTCTGATGATGCAATTTCATCACAAATCATCACTGTCATTATTACTGGATGGAGTGAAAATATGTTTAAGCTAGAACCTGGCTTAAACATATTTTCACTTCTTATTATCGCTTCTTCAATAATTTCATATTATCGCTTCTTCAATAATTTCATATTATCGCTTCTTCAATAATTTCATATTATCGCTTCTTCAATAATTTCATATTATCGCTTCTTCAATAATTTCATATTATCGCTTCTTCAATAATTTCATATTATCGCTTCTTCAATAATTTCATATTATCGCTTCTTCAATAATTTCATATTATCGCTTCTTCAATAATTTCATATTATCGCTTCTTCAATAATTTCATATTATCGCTTCTTCAATAATTTCATATTATCGCTTCTTCAATAATTTCATATTATCGCTTCTTCAATAATTTCATATTATCGCTTCTTCAATAATTTCTTTATTTGAGAGTAAGAAGGAGGACACTTTTGGCAATCATGAACTCTTGGATTGTTGAGAAATTTGAGCAGACTAACAGTTAAGATCGGACATCTTTTAAGAATCTTTATTTCAATTTCTTCAATCAAACGAGCTCCAATTAAACTTTTTTTTCGTTCGTAATTCCTCTAACAAAAATTCTAATGCACCTTTTGCAATGTTCAAAGCAGCATCATCCCCACTCATGGCATCCATAGCCATTTTACATGGTTGAAAATTGCTACTAATCCAGGAATGCATGTCTCTAAATAACCAGGTCAATCATGTCCAAATGATTTAAGCGTTTTTTTTATAGCTGGGATTATTTCTTTGAAAGTTTTCAACATTTTTAATGCACTGTTCCATCGAATTCTGACATTAAAAACTAACAATTTGAATTTAATTTTTAAAGATTGAGCATTTTCTTTAAGCTCATTGGCTAATTTAAGTTTTTTAAGTGTATTTGAATTTTTTTACAATAGTTCGAGCATCTTTGAGAGTTTTAGTACTAGGCAATGCAGGATTGTACTCAATGTTTGCTCATCTTTCAGCTATATTTTCGTCTTGATCTTCTTCTTTGTTTATCTCTAAACTAAGCACGCTTGGTGCGTTGCAAAAACTTTGAGATGTACATGCTAATATGTCACTCTATGTATCTGCTTCTTCTTCGTTTTGGTCTGATAGGAAATTCTTATTTGCTCGATTGATATCTGAGTTATCATTTTACGTTTTAGTACTCGTGTCACACAAAGATGGATTCCATGATCAGAGCAAATGTGATAAAGTTGTTCTGAGAGACAACCGGATTTAGTGCAAATAATTGCCCCATCCATAATTAGACCAATGCAATCTTAGTCATTAATTAATATTTTGCCACCTCAAAAGGGTTTTATCATCACATTCTTTTCCCATTTCGATTATACCAAGATTTTGATTGTAATTGTTGGGTCCAAAAATATGGATG